TACCAGCACACAAGGGGGTGGAAGGAAATGGCTTTGAAGGGTGAAATAACAATTAATGTTGGGGAAAGGAGAGGGTAAATCAATGATTGAAGGAAAAGAAATAGAAAAGTGGCAGAAAAATGGAATGAGGACAAGAAAGGAAGAAGATTATACAAAAATCAGTTATGATAAATAATTATAGAGAAAGAAGTAATAGAGAAGATGTGATCTAATAATGAGACTGAAGGTAGGCCATACTACACTAAATGATACAATGTATATATGATGGGGAAGAGGACTAACAGCAGCTGAGAGGAATGTGGGAAAACAAAGTGTGGAACATGTGATGAAGTGTAATAAATATAAAGAAGGGAGAGATTGAAAGAAAAAGTCAAAGAGGCAGGGAGAGTATGGAGTTTAAAAGAATCTTAGGAACAGATGGGGACAAGGAGAAAATAAGAGAAGTTAGAAAAGTGTTGTTTATTTATTTACATAATATAAATAATAAAAACAGAATTTAGGGAAAGGAAGTTATAGGAACTCCAGTTTCCTCCCACAGCCCAAAAACATGCATGCTAGGCTGATTGGTAACTCTAAATTGTCCCTAGGTGAGAGTGAGAGAGTGAATGTTGTTTGTCTCTATGTATCCCTGTGATGGACTGGAGACCTGTCCAGGTGTCCCCCACCTCTTGCATAGTAACTGTTGGATATGGGCACCAGTGACCCCCCTCGACCCAAAAAGGGAAAAACGGGTAAAGATGGATGCATGCATGCATGCTATAGGTTACACACTCCTGCTCAGTAGGTGGTATGCACCTGAACGTTGCAATCCACCATTAAAGTGAAAGAAGAGGAGAAAAAGCACTGTTCTATTTCGTATAGGCTTCGCCCTTTAAGAGCTGTCGCTGGTGGGTTTCATCCCGTCATGCAAAGCATCGCATGAAAAGTTTAGTCCACGCCCACCTGTTGTGTGGGCCCCACCCGGTCCGTATAAATTACGTTAAGAGCGGGTAATCAGCTCCCATTTTTTCTTCAGCAAGCTAATAGCATTGTCAGAAGAACGAAGAAGGGAAGTTGTCCAGCTTGACCGGCACAACCTTTGTTAAGGCTGCCTGGGGTCCCGCCACGCCAACCTCCTGCCGTCCCGGTGAGTTCTCCTCCCCGAGGAGAAGCAGACGAGCAGCCTTGTTTCAAGGTAAGCGCCGAGGAATATTTCTCAGTGGCGGGTCGCTACACGCTGGACGATGCCATCGACCCTTTTTTCCTTTTATCGCCAACTCTCGGAGCGAATTGGGTGGTTCCTCTGGGACAGGCGACGTCAGCAGCAGCCCCCACTGCTCACTCCCTCCTGGAGAGCGTAGTGTCGGAACGAGGGGGGGCTGAGTGGAGGGGTTTTACCAAGCGGAAATTCCCTCGGTGCTGCCCCCCACTCCCCCGAGCCAAGCTTGGCGGAGGCTCTCGGAGCAAAGATGTCCAGGTTGGACCAGCGTCCTGCGCCTCTAGGGAGGCATGACCAGACGGTGACGTCGCTCTCCAACCGAGCTCACCAATGTGCGTTCCAGGCGGCCGCAGGGAACAGAGGCCGGAGGGACAGACCTGCCTGAGGAGACAAGAGCTCCCTCTGTAGGGCGTCTGACGGCACCCTCAACCCGTGTGCCTCGTCTGCTGTCCCCCCTCCCTGTCGGAGAAGCGGACGCACTGTTCGGAGCCAATTTTCAAGGACATGCTCGAGAAATTGAAAAAGCCGGAGGAGGTGTCAGAGACTGTGCGCCATCTGATCAAGCTGCACACCTCATCCCGTCCCCCGGCCCGCTGGAAGGATCGACGTGGCGAAAGGCAACAACAGAGACGTTCCACAGCTGCAGTAGCGTCCTCCCGCTCTCCTCCACTGCCAGCCCCTCCCGTCAGAGAACAGCCCTTCTCATCCTGGCAACCAGCGGTTCAGCATTTCCCCAGAGATCGCCAACAGGCGGCACCCTGGGACAACAAACCGCAGGGCTCACGGGGGAGAAGATTCAAGAAATGACTCCTTGCGGGGGATGTGTGTGTGTAAATGATGACATGAGTTTTGAAATAAAACACGAACATCATTCAAAAGATTAAAGTGTCTGATTCAGCCTGTCTGTCAGTTCGAATGATCTCACAGCGGCTTCTCCTCACACATCCTCCACACAAAACGAGCCGGTGTCCTCAAAACAGTTTTTTTTTTTTCAAAATCACAGCAGCTCAAGCAACACAGAACGCGCGCGTGACACAGCAGCCAAAAGTGAATGTTTTCAGCAGACCGAGTCCATTGGGAAACCTCACTCTCAGCCTGAGCTGCGCGCTGCTTCCTCTCACCGCAGTGGTGTCAAACGCGCGCTCCCTCGGCGCTGGCAGTTTTCACCCAAACGGCGCCGCGTTGATGAGGGCGCGCACACCTCTCCTCAGCACACGCCGGCTCACATCATCATGAATGTGAGCCCGCAGCCTTAGCGCAGCACAGAAGCACTGCGCACCCGCGGCAGCCCTAAACCTACACGGTTCCGCATGCTCGGGGCGCGCGCACCTTCCCTCAGCGCACGCCAGCTCACATCGACACGGATGTGAGCCCACAGCCTGAGTGCGGCACACATGACGGCGGTGATTGGCGTCCGTAAATAACGTGATGCAGCATAAATGCGTGCCCGCTTCCCAAACGTTACACGGAGTGGCGGCGAGCATGCGCTCTAGACAGATGGATGAACCGTTTTTATCAGCGGGGGATTCACGTTGCAATTACAGCTCAAACCCCTGTTTGGAGAAGTTTTAGAGACGGTTCTGTCATCCCCAGACCAAATCTCATCCCTACACACAGAAGTTCAGGAAACTTCTGGTAAAAGATGTAATTTCCATGGTTCCCGACGGAGAGGAAAACACAGGGTTTTACTCATGTTACTTCCTGGTCCCAAAACGGAGCAGAGGGATATGAACCATTTTGGACTTGTCAGTTTTTCAACACGGTTTCACATGTTGACAACCAGACAGCTGTTAAACAACAATCAGTGAAACGATTGATTTATCTCCATCGATCTGAAATTCACCTACTTCCACATCCCGATCATCCCAAAGCACAGAAAGTTCCTGCGCTTCTCCTTTCAAGGGATTCAGTATCAGTACAACAGGCTGCCGCTCGGTTATTCCCTCGCGCCTCATACGTTCTCAAAGTGTGTGGAGACGGCTTTGCAACCATTACACAGAGCAGGGATGAGAATTTTGTTTTACCTAGATGATTTGTTGCTGCTGACTTGTTCCAGACAGGAAGCAGCGGCGCAGACCCAGGTGCTGACGTCACACCTGTTAAATCTGCGCTTCGCCATAATTTGGGAGAAAAGCTCGATTCTCC